TCAGTTCAGCATTGCCTAGTGATCCTGAGCAAACAGAATTAGGCTGTTTACGACTCCCTATGCTTGCACAGCTGAAGAGGTCAGAGACTTGATCTCTCTGCGCCTACCGCCATGTTGGAATAGAGTATTCTTATTTTAAATCCTCTGAGTATGCATCAAGGAGTGGGAAATTTGGATCAAAAGGTAGTTTAATTCCAGGTTTTCCAAGGAATCTCCATACTGCTTTCCAGAGTGGTTGTCCCTATTTGCAGTCCCACCAGCAATATATGCGTGCACTTTTTACCCCACATCCTCACCAACATTTATGTTACTTGTATTCTTGATAATTGCCACTCTGACTGGAATAAGATAAAATCTCAGTGAAGTATTAACTTTAATTTATCTAATTGTGATAGATAATAAACACTTTTTTATGTGTTTCTTAAATGTTCACATTTCTTCTTCTATGAAGTTCTTGTTCATTTCTTTAGCCCACTTATTGATTGGGTTATTTGTTTTTATGCTGTTAAGGTTTATGAGGTCTTTGGGAGATTAATGCACTATCTGAGGTGTAGATGGTAAAGATATTTTCCCATTCATTAGGCTCTCTCTTCATGTTCTTTATTGTTTCTTTTGCTACAAAGAAGCTTTTTAGTTTGATTCCATCCCATTGATTCATCTCTTTTATTTATTTATTTGTGATGCTGTGGATTGAACTCATGGCCTTATGGCCATGAGATAAGCATTCTACAAACTGAGCTATGTCCTCAACCCCCATTGGTTGATTTTTAATTTCACTTTTTGCACTTTATCAGTCTTGTTGAGGAATTTGGTTCCAAAACCAACATGATATAGATTTGGGTCTACTGTTTCTTCTATTAGATACACGGTTTGTGTTCTAATGCCTAAGTTCTTGACCCACTTCAAGTTCAGTTTTGTGTGGGGTGACAGGTAGGGATCTAGTATTAGATAATTCTATTTATGTGAGTTTTTCAGGGACTCACATGTGCTAGGCAAATGCTCTACCACTGAGCCACAATCCCAGCCTCCAGGGTCTTCTAAGTACAAAATCATACCATTGGCAAATTGAGATTGTCTTTTTTTTTTAAGTTATAACACTTTAATAATTTAAATAGAACCAACTTCAGGGATGCACATACATAAAATTCAAACAACGTAATTGAACAGTATATTTAAACGCATCAAATTCTTAAAAATCCCCCCCCCAATAGAGTCAGTATCACGAATATGAAAAAGTAATTTTGAAGTACTACAGACCATAGTAAAACAGACAAGATGAGTATTTTGCATTTACCAATGAGACAAAAACCTGTTGATACATCCCACTTTCTAAGAACACTTCTAGGGAATGTCAGGACAAAGTCATTCCAAAGGAATACAAATGATCTTCAAAAAATGATTGTTTATTTATTTATTTGCAGGGCTGGGGATTGAACCCAGGGCCTTGCACATGGTAGGCAAGTGCTCTACTGCTGAGCTATGTCTCTAGCCCTGCAAAGAGGAATTTATAGCTAACAAATTTTTTGGTCCTCCAAGTCACACTTGTTTTTACTTTAAAATACCAAACATGAGTTGGAATTCTACCTAGAAATGTCTAAATATTAAGCAGGTTAATGTTTATTCCAAATTAAATTTAACATGGAACTCAAGAATCAACCACCATTGGACTTTAGAAACTCCAACTACAGGGGAAAGTAGTAGAGATTTTTTTATAAAGGAGAGAAACCTCGACCATCTTGCTCCATTGTAAGCTAAATGGCAAGTAAGTGGCAGAGATAGAATGACCACAGTTTAAGCAAGCAACGTAATTCCTTTTTTTAAAAAAGAATGAATAAATGTGAAGAGCACTATGCTGATGGAATAAAACACTTCTTTGTAGAATTAACTGTGTCTGTTTTTGTGGGAGAGTTAGATGTTTTTGTTTTAATTTGGCCCACACTGCCCCAGTGGAACAAAATTTAAGATAAATGGTAATAAGGCAACAGCTTCTGGACTGAAAGGCCTACACCACCTGAACAGAGTCACACTGAGGACAAGACCCAAGACCCACACTGACCACAAGGAAAACAAGACCAGAGTTCTCAGTGCATTTTCACAAACACGACAGCACAGCTCTGTGAGGACAGGGGCACAGCTCCCAAGGCAGGCCACAGACAATTCATCTGCACTCTTTTGGGCTCTTGGAAGCTAGAGTTCTTCAGACCTGACAATGATGAGCACTCCCAAAAGTTTCTAGAAATCCTTAGAAAAATATTTCATAAGATCAAAATAAAAATGTCCAAGAAACTTCTAAAGAGACAGCTGTGGGACTAGTTATCTGCTGTGTGAGTACTAAGACTTATAAAATAATGGCTTTTGAAAAAAAGGCAAAAGTATCTACAGGCTAACTGGTGTGATATTCTCATCAAGGCACAGAGAGTTAAATGTCTAAATCCCTGTATGTTGACGTGAGAATAACTCGTAAGCAACTCCAGGAACTAATTCCCTGAACTTGAATTAAGAAAGAAGGTGGAAATGTGCCTTTTTAACTCACAGTAAAATTGAAAAAAATAGATATTCCACCACCTTCCCTTGGTGACTAATGTTAAAAATGGATAGCTGATAAATAAATAAAAACGAAATGTCATTTGTGAATTTATAAACATGATCGAAGCAGAGCTGATGGACTTTGAATTCACAGAGCAAGGCTGCACACTGTTCGTGAATTATTAGAGCACTTTCAGCATTTCTGTGGCAGAGGAAAAGGAACTGCTTTTCCCATGCCCGATTCTCCTATGCTGATAAGACAGATCACTGTCGGATTTCATTCACATACACAGATTCTCCTCCTCCCCAGCACCCTTGGGTTATCTGAATGGCAGTGGTTTGTGCATGTAACTTAGGCTGCTGGCAGTTCACCTTAGACACTGCCCCTACAAGGTGGCAAGAAGAAAGCGCAGGGCTTACCCCTATGTGAATCATTTTTAATTTGACTTTATAAATAATTTTAAATACAATTATTGACAAGGCATAAAGTTAACATCTGTAACAAATGAAAAGGGGAGGCATGATGAAAGACAACACCATTAGCAGTCGGACCTGCGCGACGCCATGCTCCAGTTCAGCTCCGAATGAGAGTGAGAAACTCCTCCCGCGTCTTGGGATCTTCCCGGAACATACCCAGCATTGTACTGGTCACAGTTTTGCTGTTCATTTTCTGCACCCCTCGCATTACCATACACATGTGTGTTGCTTCAACCACTACCCCAACTCCTGCAGGCTGCAAGGCTTCCGTGATTGCCACTGCAATTTGTTTTGTAAGACGTTCTTGGACTTGCAGTCTTCTACTATAGATTGCTACAATCCGGGCAAGTTTGCTGAGGCCAAGGACTTGCTTGTTAGGAAGATAACCGATATGGACCCTTCCCACAAATGGAACTAGATGATGTTCACACATGGAAAACATATCTATGTCCTTCACAATCACCATCTCATCATGATCTTCATCAAATACAGCATCGTTCAGGACATCTGAGATGGTCTCTTGGTAGCCCTTGGTGAAGAACTGCATGGCCCTGGCCGCCCTCAAGGGCGTCTTGAGCAACCCCTGCCGCTGGGGGTCCTCGCCCAGAGAGCGCAGGATGGACGAATAGGCGGCCGCCAGGTTGGGGAGGTTCAGCTCGTTATCTTCCACACCGCGGCTTCTCCGCCGGCACCCGAACCGGGCCCTTCTCCATGGTACCGCTGCTACCGCTCCGGGAGACCCCGGGGCGTCTCAGGGGGCTGCAGCTAAACTTCGCAGGTGGCGGCCCGCAATGACCTGTGGCCCGAATCACCTGAGGACGGTAAGCGATCTGGCAGAGACATGCCGCCCGTCTTTTGAGTTTTTAATTTCCTACTTGATTCCTTTTAACTTCTTTCTTTTGTATAATGGCTCTGTCTAGAGTTTCAGGGATCTAGTTTAATAAAAGTAGTGAAAGAGGGCATTTTTTTCCTTGCTGCAGTTTTTAGAAGGTATGCTTTTAATTTTTCTCTATTTAGAATGCTGTTGGGCTTGGGTTTAGCATATATAGCTTTTACAATGTTGAGGTATGTTCCTAGTATCCCTAGTTTTTCTAGTGTTTTGAACATGAAAGGGTACCCTATTTGTCAAATACTTTTTTTGCATCTATCGAGATAATCATATGATGATTATCTTTAAGTCTATTGATAGGATAAATAATGCAGATTGATTTTCTTATGTTGAAACAGCCATGCATTTTTGGAATGAACTACAAATGATTGTGGTGCACTATCTTTTTAATATGGTTTGGTATCCAATTTGCCAGAATTTTATTGAGAATTTTTGCATCTATGTTTATCAGGGACACTGTCTGAAGAATTCTTTCCTTGTTGTGTCTTAATCTGGTCTTGGTAGAAGGGTGTTACTAGCTTTATAGAATGAGTATGGAAGAGTTTCTCTTGTTTTCTATTTCATGGAAGAATTTGAAGATAATTCGTGTTGATTTTTTATGGAAGGACTTTTAGAACTCAGCTGAGCATCCAACCTGGGATTTTCTTAGTTGGTAGGCTTTTGGTGGCATCTTCCATTTCTGTGTGTTGAATCAACCTTGGGATTTTTATTCCATCCTCAAATCTCAAATTGATCTGTTTAAGTTGTGTACATCCTCCTGATTCAGTATGGGTAGGTCATATGTATCTAGAAATTTATTGATGTCTTCAAGGCTTTCTATTTTATTGGAGTTAAATTTTCAAAATAACTTATGATTATTATCTGTATTTTAGTACAGGTGTCTGTACTGTCTGTCATGATATTTTCTTTTTCATCATAAGTTTTAATAATTTATCTCACCTTTAATAATTTATCTCTCCTTATTAGCTTATGTTAATGGTTTATCATATTTTATTTATTTCACAAACCAAATTTTGTCAATTTTTTAAATAATTTCTTTTGTTTTAATTATATTGATTTTAACTCTGATTTTAATTATTTTTTTTGTCTTATGCCGTTTTGGTACTTATTTGTTCTTTTCCTAGGGTATGAGATGCAATATTAATTTTCTTTTAATTTGACTTTCTTTCTTTTTTTTTTTTTTAATGAATGAGCTCAATGCAGTGAACTGTTCTCTTAGAACTGCTTTCCTACTGTCTCAGAGATCTTGATATGCTGCTGTGTGGCTGTTCTCATTTACTTGAAAGATTTTTTTTTTATTCCTGATTTTTTCCTGGTGTCCATTGGACATTCAATAACATTTTATTTAGTCTTCATTTTTTTATTTTATCCTAGATTTCTAATTTTATTTCATTATTTTCTGATAGATGATATAATATTATCTCTATTTTTTGTATTTGTTAAAAGTAGTTTTGTGGTATAAGATATTATCTCTTTAGAAAAAGATCCATGTGCTCTTTAGAAGAAAGTATACTTTATCATTGATGGATAAAATACTTTATATGTGTCTGTTAAGTCTAAATTAATGATTATAATATTTGAGTATATTTTTTATTTAGTTTTTGTTTATAGGATCTATCCAGTGATGACAGAGGTATGTTAAAGTCACCCAGTATTATTGTATTATAGTCTATTTGATTCTTGAAATTGAGAAGAGTTAGTTTGTGTATATAGATGTTCCATTGTTTGGGGCTTAAATATTCATTATTGTTATCTTTTATTGATGTATGATTCCTTTAAACAATATAGAATGTCATTTTTGGTATTTTCTGATGAACTTTGGCTTAAAATCCACTTTTTCTGATATGAGGAGGAAACTGTTCATTCAACGACATGTGTGATATGTTTTTTTTTTTTTCAATTTTCAACCTCAATCTGTGGATGTCATTGCCTATGAAGTGAGTCTCTCAGAGAGAACATATTTTTGAATCTTATATTTTACTTCAATCTCCCAGTCTATGTCTTTTGGATAGATGAATTTATACTATTTATGTTTAAGGCTATCATTGAGAAATGATCTCATTCCCAGTCATTTTTTATTTATTTCTAGTCTTTATTATGAAAAAAAAATTATTTATTAATTTCTCCTTTGATTATTTATTTAGTGTCATTAATCTTTTTGTTGGCTTTTACTTTTCAAAAATTTTATCTTTATGGAAATATCTTGCTGAAAATATTGTGTAGTGCAGGCTTTCTAGTTGTGAATTTTTAATTTTTTTATGGAAAGCTTCTTATAATCCTCTAATCTGAAGCTTAATTTTGCTGTGTATGGTATTTTTGTTGGCACCCATTTTATTTCAGAGCTTGGTAAATATTATATGAAGACCTTCTAGCTTTGAGGGTCTATGTTGAGCAACCAGCTGGGGTCTGAATTGGTTTTCCTCTAATGTTACATGCCATTTTTCTCTGGCAGTATTTAAAACTCTACCCTAATTTTGTATGTTAGAAATTTTTATAATCATATGGCTTGGTGTGGATCTGTTATAATTTCATACATTCAAGGTTCTGTAAGTCTTCAGCATTTGATTTTCCATTTTATCTTTTAGGTTTGGTAAATTTTCTGATATTATTTTACTGAAGAGATAGTACATTCCTTTGGTTTTTATCTCTGCTCCTTTAAATATCCCAATCTTTCTTTTGGTCTTTTCAGGTTACCCCCTATTCCTTGGAAGTTCTGTTCATGGTCTCTTAAAATTATTCTCCATAAACTCTATTTTAAAGGTTATATGTATATTTTTTTTTCATTGCATGATACTATCTTCCAAGTGGTCTAGTCTGTTGATGATGATTTTCTTTGAATCTTTAATTTGGATTATTGATTACTTCATTTGGAGGATTTCTGCTTGATGTCTTTCAGAATTTCTCTCTTTACTGTCATGATTCTTCACTTCCTGAATTTTATCTCTAATTTCAATACTTAAATTATCCATTATCTTTGGATCAGTTTAATATGTTCATTCTAATCTCCTTCTCTTTCATTTTTTCCACTGTGGAATCAATAAATTCTGTTATTGGAGGATCTTGTATTTTGGGGGGTGATGTTTTCTTTTTTTCAGGTTCTTTTTTTGTTTCTACCCATTTATCAGCATGGATATGAGGCAATAGGGTTTCTATCCTATAAACATATTGTGTCCCTACAGGGGAAGACAAATAATCAACCAAAGCAAGCACTATACATCCTCAAACCAAATAGTTTTTACAAAAATGTTTACAGTTTTGTCACAACAAATGTAAAGAATATCTTCAGTTATTGCCTATGACTATATACCATAGGGTCCTTTGGATCACATATCTGATAATTCTTCATATAATTTTGTATAGGCTACATTGAAAACTGAATTATAATTATATATATATATATTTTTTTTTTCTACCAGGGACAGTGTGAGCTTCTTCCTGGCTCCAGTAGTTGGGAACAGGGATGTCCTTCCAGTTTTTCTTAGAACATAGTCCTGCTTGGGCTCTGCCTTAGCCTTAACTATGGTCAGTGGGCCTCTGATCAACTCAAGCACATCCACCAGCTCTGCCTTGACTTTTCCATATTTTGCTTCATTTGTTCTTTTCTCTTTTATTATGGAGACTTTACAAACTTTTAAATTAAGGTTTAATTGCTGTACATAACAGTTGAGTTCATTCTGACAAATACATACATGCTGTTTCATTTCTTTTTAAATCCTCTTTTAAATTTTATTTGTCTTTTTTTTTGTAACAGTGATTGAACCCAGGGACACTTAATCACTGAGCCACATTCACAGCCCTTTTTTCCTTTTCTACTCTGAGGCAGGGTCTCACTAAGTTGCTTACAGCTTCACCAAGTTGCTCAAATTGGCCTTGAACTTGCAATCCTGCCTCAGCCTCCTAAGCCACTGGTATTACATGCGTGTTTCACCATGTCTGGCTCTTCTTTAAGTTTGACTGGCAGCTTGAATCGTAAAGTTGAGGACTTGGAAATTATGTAATACAGGACCCTGTAGTACCTAGAAAACAAGTGCTCTATGTGACAGTGCTAAGGGAAGGAGGTTTCTGTCACAAATGGCAGGAAGAGGGCCCTCAGAGCCACTGGGAGGACTCAGAAGGTGCCAGGAATCTCTCACCCCAGAGTCCAAGAATTAAAAAGTATGAAATAAGTGTACACTAATTTAAAGTTGGGATCAAGGGCCTAAAATTTATATTGACTACATGATCTGACCCTTCAGCTCCTTCACCCCTCTGAGTCAATAGAACTCATGTCAGGGAAAATTTTTGAGTATAGCTCTCCCCTGAGTACTATCATCCAGGAAAGAATTAAAAAATTAATAAGCAAATGAAATGTTCCACTTGGGACACCATGGTTCTCTCCTCCCCAGAGGAAATCCTAAAACACTTATGGAGGCACTAAAATTGCAGACTTGCAGAGAGATGAGTTATGATGGTTTTTCTCAAGTCATCACACCTCCTGAAAGTCCATCTGGGTAAGTACCTCTCTGTTCCACAGAAGCAGGCAGCATCAGAGGGCAGGCAGGGCCTGGAAAGATTATGGAGGAAGCCAGCTGGAACTCTGAGTCAGATTTCTATAAATTCAGTTCAGCCAGGCAGTGCCAACCATTATCCACAGCTCATTAAATTTTTAATTTTTTTCCATGCAGTGGGAAGTTTTCTTACTAGTATAATTAATGTTTTAATTTAGTGTATTATAAAGCTAGCATTTTTAGCATTAAATGTTTCTAATAATTTTATATGAAATGCTATTAGTAGATTTCAGTCATGCATTCCTTTTTTGGAATATAATGACTTTCATTTACTTAACATGTCAGTTCTCAAGGAAGATATTATTCTCTTAACATTTACAGACTTTTGCTGTGGGTTTTCACTAAATACACTCAGTTTTTGTCTTAACATCTTTGCAATCAATTAATACTCTTGAAAAAGTGACCTG